TACGCCTGCACCGCGTCCTCTGGCGCCGCAGACGCTTTCGGCACTTCGGGTACCTTGGCGACGAAGGCTCCCACGTTGGGCGCGCCTGAGGCGCCCACGTTGGGCGCGCCTGCTGGCGGTTGCGCCTGGCGCCACGGCGGCTGAGGCTTCTCCGACGGCGGCTGCTGCTGCTGCTGCTGCACCTCCTGCTGCTGCTGCTGCTGCTGCTCCGCCCGCCACGTGCCGCCAGCGTCTCGGGTGCGACGTGGCGGCGACTTCGGCGCCGCGCCCTGATTGTGGACGGGGATGAGCGTCGGTCCTTGCTTCGCCACTGGCGAGGGGTCGCTGCTGCTGCTGCCAGGGCACTCCGCCGTCTGCCAGCCTGGCGGCGCGGGATCGGCGATGATGTCATCCATGCCTGCCTCCTGCGCAAGGCAAGGTAAACGCCGAGAGCACCGTCGCTTCTGGGCCCTGCCCCGCCGCCGCCTGCATCCAGGCACGCGGGCGAACGGGGGCGGGGCCGCATGGGCGTCGGGCGCGCTCGATCCGTTTCCCTCGAGCCTGGGCGAACATATCGAAGAGGTTCAAGGCTTCGGCGACCTGCTCGAAAAGCGACTGGCTCGCATCTGAAGCCGCCGTGTGCACCTCAACAGGAATCCAGGAAATCAGCCTGCACTGCCCAAGCGGACGCTTCGGGCTGAGCAGGCGTTTTCTGAATTCCCGGCGCCTCCGCGGAGTTGTCCATGGCGCTGCTGGCCGCGCCCTCGCTCGCCATGCGCCCGCGAAGCGCCCGCGGCCGCTGGCGGCAGCGGCGCGGGGAGGGGCGCCGCGGGACCCGCGGGGAGGGCTGCTTGAATTGAAAAGGCGCGGGGGGAGCGGCGGAGGGAGGCGGGCAAGGGCGAGGCAGCGGTCAGAGAAATGAGAACGCCCATGGTAATGGAACCAGCGAAGGCGGAACACCGCCGACAACAGATGGAGGCGGTGCACCGCCAGGCAAACCTTCCAAGAAATACGAAGAACCGCCTGAGCAGCGCAAGGACAAGCAAGGCCCGATGAGATTACGATCCGATTTCGATCCGAGTTCCTTGTTTTCTGAACGCAGGCTGCGCGCCCCACGCGCCGCCCGCGGCAAATCCGACTGAGTGTCATGCATCGCGCCACCGAAGCAGGTCGCCTCAGAACTCGCCCTTGCGAGCCTCCAGCTCGCTCTGCACCAGCGCCTTGGCCCAGGCGATGGCGGCCTCCTGAGAGGCAGATGAAAACCGTCATAAACGCAAAGTGGCCCGCGGGGTCTCTTTGCGCATATGATTGGAGCGAGGCCACGCGCGGCCGCAACAACGCGCTCCGCTGCCACGCATCGAGCCCCGTGGCCACGCCGATTGGAGGAGATGGGACCCAAAAGTGTCCTTCTCCTTGCCGTTCCTGTACTTCTTGCTCTTGGTCCCGCCTGGCCCGCTGCGCCCGCTCCTGAAGAGAATCTGGCTGCGAGTGCTCTCGTCGTCATACCGCGGTGCTTTCAGCTTGCATGCTGCCGCCTTCGCCTTCGCAGTCTTCTTCGGTGTTGCCTCGGCTTGTGCCTTTGCCTTCGCCGCCGATGGCTTCGCCGTGCCATCTGAAGCCCTTGTCTTCGCCAAGGCCGCCACTGCGTCGGACTTCCCCCGCTTCTTCTCGCCCTTCTCCGCTTTCCAGCCAGAGGAAGTACGTTGCCCCGCCGCTTGGAGGAGAACCAGGGCAGCGTCGGCAGGCAGCTTCGCCAGCGGCAGAGTCGGATCCACCTTGACAGCGGCAAGTGGCAATAACCAATCGCCGCGCCTGCGACGCCCCGCAGAGGGCGCGCCGCTGCCTTGGGCAGAGGCGCGCCCCCGTGAATCGCGGAGGCCGCGGAGGCGGGCCCAGGTTACCGTCCAAAAACCTTTGCCTTCTTCTGCGGCGCCCCCTTCGCGTCCACCTCGGACTCGCTCGAGCTCAGCACCATGACGTCAACGGCCGATGCCTTGACCTTGGCGCCACCGCCCAACTTTGAGGCCGCGGCCGCAGGCGCCGCTCCCGGCATCGCGGCAGGCTTGCCCGCGGGAGCTGCTGGAGTGGGAGTCGTCGGCCCGCGCTGCGAGACGAGGGCGGCCGCCGCTGGGTTCGGCCACCCGCCGCGGGTGTTGTGCGTTGGGATCACCCCCAACGGCAACGCCGCTGGCGTCGCGGCCCCCAAGGGAGGCGCCGCGGCAATCGTCGCGGCTGCAACCGCAACGCTTTGCATCGGAGAAGGCGGCGGCAGAGGCGCGAAGGCGATCGGCGGCAACGCCGCCCGCTGCGGCGTTGCCTGGGCGCCGAGCGCTGCGTTCCTGTTGCCGCGCAAGCTGATGAGCTTCCCGAGGACCTGCGTCTCGAGAAATAAAAAAAAAAAAAAAAAAAAAAAAAAAAAAAAAAAAAAAAAAAAAAAAAAAAAAAATAAAAAAACAAAAAAAAAAAAAAAAAAAAAAAAAAAAAATAAAAAAGAAGAAAAAAAAAAAAAAAAAAAAAAAAAAAAAAAAGCGCCAAAGGTTGTCGGCTGCGCGGGCCCCTCCGAGGCGAACGCCTGCTCGCACAGCGTCGGCCTCTCCTGCTGGAACAGCGCCGCCGAGGGGGAGAGCGCGCCGACAAACTCGGTCGCCTTGCCTCGAGCAGCTGTGTAGGCAGGGGAACGCCTCGTGGTCTTCACCAACTGCAAGTACACGTCCAAGAGCTGCGGAGTCGGCGAATTCTTCTCGATGCCTGATCGCTGGCACGCCAGGAACATGAACGCGGCTAGCATGCCAAACGTCGGCTCGGAAGGGTTCCGGAGCCCGAGGCGCTCCAAGTGGCGCAACAACATGACAAATTTCGAAGCGAACGACTCGGTTGGGCTCAGCAGCACGTGCCACGTGGAGGCAGTAAGCAACTCCACGAAGCACTCGTAACTTTGCCCTTTGGCCTTCGTGCGCCTCCCGCAGAGCCACTCGGTCGCGGCGCCGACCAAATCGTGACTGAACCCCGTCTGCCCGAGCTCGGTCAGCAGCTGCCCTTTCTCCGCGGCCGTCCACCTGCAAAACGACGGGGGAATGTTAGACGGCGGGGAGGAGGGGGGAGCGGGCGGCGTTCCGCCGAACGGAGGCGGGGACCTCCTCGAAGGGGGAACGGATGGCCTCTCGCCCGTACGGGATCTTTGACCCGAGCCTCACCTCTGGCCTCCGATGAGCGCGCGCACCTTCCCGAAGTGCAGCTGCTCTGCAGCGCCCCTGGAAGGCCCGCTCGCCGCTGCAAGCGCCGCGGCTGCCTCGCCCAGGGCAGCCTGGACGCGCTCCATCGCGCCGCGGCGCGTCGGGGGGCGCCCGCCCCGCGGCCCCTCCAGAAGCGCTCGGTGGGACAGGGGCAGCGTATTGTGGCGAAGGGAAATGACATGGCCCTTCACGTCTTCCTTCTGCTATCCTCTCCTCCCCCCTCTCCCCTCCTCCCCCCTCCTGGGCGGTGCGCCGCCAATGCGACCAATCAAACGGTATATGATGAAACGTGCGCCGAAGGCGGTGCACCGCCAACGAATGCAGAAACCCCTCGCGCAATCAAGGTGACGTGGGCGGTGGGCCGCCAAATGCGATGACAAACTCGGGCGAAGCATGCGCCGCGGGCGGTGCACCGCCAACGCGAAAGAAACGCATCGCGCAATCACGGGGACGTGGGCGGTGTACCGCCAAATTCGATGACGAATTCGGATGAAACGTGCTGCGTGGGCGGTGCTCCGCCGATGCGTGAAGAAACGATTCGCGCAATCAAGGGAACGTGGGCGGTGCACCGCCAACGCGACGAAACTTCAATCAACAGGTGCAAAACGTACAAATTGCAATACGCGGGCAAAACATAGCGATGGGCGGTGCGCCGCCAATGCGATAAAACTGCTCAGAATTTGCTAGACGTGGGCGGTGGGCCGCCGAAACGAATCACATCAGAACGCGCCGCGATGAGAAGTGCGGGCGGTGTGCCGCCAATGCGCATGGCATCCCCTCCCGATCCCCCCCCCCGCCATTCCCGCCCCCTCTCTCCTACCCCCCAGGCTGCGCGGGTTGAGCTCGGTGATGAACGGCCTTCTCGGTCGCCTGGCGCCTGGCGAAACACTGTGCTGAAGAAAACCTGCGCGTTTTTCGGTGTCCGACCCCCTTTTCAAAAAGCAGACAATAAGTGACTTCATCTGACATCGGTGCCGAAAAAAGGCCACTCCAAGACATATTTTTCTTTCGAAAATATTGATTTTCTCCTCCCGGCGCCCGGGAACCCCTTCCGGGCCGCTTCCGGCACCCGGGCCGGCGCTCGAGCCGAACGCCTGGGCCAGCACCCGGGCCAGCGCCCGGGCCGGTTCCGGCGCCGGCCGGCGCCGGAAAATTGAATTCCGAGGCGGTGCGGCAAAAAGGCCA